CCCACCCCCACCTCCACCTCCTGTCGTCATCTGTGTTTAATCTCTAATCTCTTTACAAGTAGGAGGAAAAGACCGAGAAAGTAAATTGCGTGGAGACTCCACAAAAATCTCCGACAACCTTCATTCGGGCTAAAGTGACGAGTCCTTCCGAGGGGGGGGGGGGTGTGTCTAATTGACAATGGTCACACAGTGTGTCCGTGTGTGTGTCTTTATCAAAAGCGACAGTTAGTAACGCTTGATTCGTCACTATAGATTCATGTCTCGGTTACGACTTACAACACGAGCACCATAACCCCACTTTTGATTTGTATGGTTTACAGTATTCCCCAACTTAGACTAATAGTACGTCTTGTTAAATACAGTTAAGTTAATCACGCTTCCCTCTGTTTCTCGTACAGTCGGGAATAGAGACCGGAAATCTGATAGACCCTCGAAATCAGTCTATCTCGTATCGCTTGTCCCTCGCCTACCTAATTATACACCTCCCCACTATCTCTCTCTGTCATCCCGGTACTTTGGTCTATCAGTACCTTCTATTTGATTATTGATTCTATTTCTGGGTGTAATGTTATTCAGTATTCGAAGTGTGTCTGTCGATGACCATCAGTCCCGTTAGTAAAAGTAACGGGGTGGGTTGGTGTCTTCCTCTCTCGTCTCGTCTTCTTCGCTCACACAGCCCCCCCCCCCCATCCCCTGTCATTAACAGAAGTAGAAAATTAATCCGGAGACATTGATCTTCTAAAGTAATCTGGATGCGTGGTTGACTGGTCAAAGTCATCGACGGTTTCTCCCCGTCTCTCCTCACCCTCTTCGTTTCTCTAATTTCTGTCGTTCCACTCTGCCCACAAAGTCTCACAAACACATCTCTCTGACATACCTTGGTCTTCTGTACGTCTCTTGGACCTCCTGATTTCATCTGTACGTGTGTCTATGACGCGCTCCGTGGAACACTATGTAAAGGGCTCAACCTGACTCGACGTAATGCCACCGTTTTCGATTTCGAAAGAGGTTAGACTGGACTCTCAGACGGTCACCCTTCCTGTGAGACCCTCCACCGTCAAGTTTCAGTTGAGACACTTCTATGTGTAGTCTTCTCGTTGTCATGTATGTTTAAACTTTTGTGTTTTGTACCTGCGTCGTATGTTTATAGACGTGGAAGTCATAAACCATATGTCGTCGACGTACTCATGGTGTCGGACATACTAAGTCGTGGTGCTTCTCGAGGTCGGAACACGGAACTAGAAGTCAGTCACCGTCTAAAGCGGTAGAATGAGGATTAGCGAGCTTGCAGACGAGCGTAGAAACGAAAAGAGGTTTGGTTCATGTTTTTTGCGATTTTCAATTTAGTCCGACAAACGAAGTCTACGGACCTCTTTCTTGCTGATCGTTCAAGACACAGATGAAAGATTACTAGGTCTACAGTCAGGAAAAGAAGAGATTTTAATATTTCCAGGCGAATTAATATGACAAAAAGTATTATATAATATCCAGAGTCTATATATCGGTTTTGTACATAGGACTTCACAAACCCGAGTTTTATGATTTGTCTAATAACATCGTAGGGTTAAATTATGGGGGGCAGACAAAGTCTGGGACAAAGATTTCACACTAGAGACAGACAATCGAAATCTGACTTTTATTCCTCCGGAGGGGTGCGGCGCTGAGACTGTGTAGTAAGTGTGCGTTGCCGTTGAGCCAAGTTCGAGGCACGATCCGGAAACAGTCCAAGTTCTTGGCCAAGAAGCCAAAGATCGAGGTCGAGAAAAGTGTGTACGGTCTCAGGCTCGACCGTGACCGCACGTAACGCAGTAGCAAACGTAGTACTGCATTAGGCCAAACGCACGGACGAAGTATTTCGTTTGGCGCCCGCTTTGGGAGTGTCGACTCGTGGCTGTTGTTACCGGCTACACCGAGCGTCGAAGGAGACATGCGCAGGAAGCCTTCTCGCGTCTAAGGCGTCATCCAATCGACCAGAGAAGTCACACGGGTGACGACGAACAATTCAAAGAGGGTGGCAACACATGTTTGATCCTATTTTGCGGCGAAAACAACAACAAGTCCTCAACTACGCGGACGGGGACGGGACCGGGGACAAGGGCCGCAGCTGCATACGCACACGAAACAAGATGCGGGCCTGTGTGAGAGAGCGAAGCGCGAGCGAGACTTTGCTTGGGCCTAAGGCCTTCGATTCTCCGACGAGGTTACGCCACACTTGTCTTTTGTGGCCACGAAAAGTTCGATGTCGAGGCTGGGCCGGGACTTTGTGGCAACCACCACTACTCCATACTCTCTATAAACCAATGGTTTTCTGTGTGAGCCACCGACATTCCTTTTCTAACGTCCACTATCGCCGGTGGGGGGGGGGGCGCGCGCGCGCGCGCGCGCGCAATCGGAAGCGCAACGCGAAGCCGGAATGTGGGACCAGAGTGTGGTTCGGGGTTTTTTGTAGCAATTGTAGTATGTTCCCGGTTTTAGACTAGTCTGATTAAAAGTCTGGTCCAAATTTACTTACCTAGTCGCTGGTGTGCTGCGTCTTAGAGAGAAAAAAAGGAGCTTTGACAGAGTCTTAGCCACCCCACTCTCTCTTTCTATCTCTCATTTCCTCTCGGAGTTGTCCAGTTAGCCATCAAATTCACATGAGCAACATTTATGTAAAAATACAAATTGTTACTGACCGGTGTCTTGGGAATATGAATGGTTTATTCTTCACACATCTCTAGTTAAATGACTGATATAAGCTGTGATTCAGGCTGTGTGCCCTAGTACTGTGGCTGGGTATTAAACAATATTTGGTGACATTAGACTGATTGATTTCTGCCCAAAACCGATACCATCTCTGCCCCTCGTCCTCATGACCATCCGCTGGATTTGTACTCATTTATAAAAGCACCATAAATGGCAAATGCTGCCAATAAGAACACAAATAAATGGTGGATGTGTGAAGTGAGGGAGAGAGAGCGAGGCAAAACAAAGACTGAGCTGTGGGGGTCGAGCCTTGCTGTTGCATTTTGAGCTTTGGGGCCGGCTTATATTTAATGGCTGGACTGGGGCTAAATGAGCTGAATTAATAGGGTCTGCTCTGAACACTTACATGCCTGCTAAACATACAAGTTGGTGGGTGTATGAACGTGTGTGGGTCGTTATTAATTAGGTCATCTTTCAACCCTTTCACGCCCTCGTAGCCTAGACTGGGTGGATGTGTGTTTGTAGGCGACGAGTTTGAATGTCATAGATCATATAAGCATTTCACACATTTCTTTAGCAATATGCTGTAAATCCTAAAGTGTATTGTTGGAAGCAAATTAATGATGTTCTTTTTGCTCGTTTCTGTATTTCTGAGGTTGTCGTTTCTTTTGTCTCTGCGCTCATTGCTTATCACAATTTTTGCAGACACATGCAGAATATCAAACATGCTTCTAACACATGTATCCCTTGGTGATAGTGTGTGTGCACCAGGCTAAATGTTGGCTTGGAATGAAAGGGTCATTCCCCAGTGTGTTCATTGAATGAGTCCGGGTGCAGGATCACTACGAGGAGAATCTGGCCCTCATCCCCCATCGCCTGCTTCCTCCCCTCGTTCTTCTCTCTGCTCCAGCTTATTAACCCCCAGCCTTCCCATCTACTCAGTCTTCCTTCTCCACAAACTGGTATCAGTATGTATCTCTTCTGTCATTAGGAATTCGTCTACCCTCCCCCTGCTTTGGACTGGATTGGTTCAGCCCAAGTCTGCGGCTGACTCCCCACAAATAAGGCCAACCAATCTGACATGAAAGTGTACAGCCTCAGAAGAATAACTAGTGGTGTGTGAATATGATATGTTTGTGCACATGTATATGCGTCTGCTTGCTAGTGTCTCAGCGGTCTTGTTTCAGAGGAATCTGGTTGTGTAGTTAACGATCAGACATTTGTGGGAATCTGCGAGGACTTAATGTAGTGTCTCCTTCCTTGTTCTCGTTAGACTAGCTTGACACCTTGAATTTGAACTTGCGGAATGTTATCTGTGTGTTTATTTAAAAGACAAGGTCCTCAGACGGGAATATTAAACAGGGTTTGGCAGCACGTTTGCCTCTGTGTCTATCTGTCTGTCTCCCAGCATCGAAGCCTGTGTCGCTCTTTGACTCTGTTTCTTCCTCGGATGGCGTTCTCTCTGGGGTCGGGATTGGGCAGGATGTTTTCAGACAGATTATCTAGACAGTGAGAGGACCGTGTTCAAACAAAGGGTCATCCAGACTGTCTCCTTTTATCCGCAGGCAAAACGCACACCACTCGACCATGACTCACATTTCTTTCTCATAGTTTGAAATCCTCATGGTAATAACTGAACCCCGGCCTACATCCTGCCCCTCAATGCACAGGAAACGGCAAGCATACCACTGCCAGGTTGTCAGTAGCTCATGGGAACACACACACACACACACACACACACACACACACACACACACACACACACACACACACACACACACACACACACACACACACACACACACACACACACACACACACACACACACAGCCACCACGTGTTGTGCAGGATATTGTTCAAGTGTTTCCTCAGCAATATATGATCTGATTAGGCTGAATTAATGAGACCCGGTGGAATGGTAAAACTGCTCTTTTGCATCCTTCCTTCTAGTTATCTCACCATCCCTCCAGCCCCTGTCTCTTCCTCTCTGAACGCTCTCCTCACCCTACAGCTCCCTGCACCCCTGGTTTTATAATTGTTCTCCCTGTGCTCCTCCCTCTCCCCTCCCCTCACCAATCATTACCCCTATGTTCTGGTTTATTATGCTCTAGTTGGGTAAGAAATCAGTGCTGATAAAGTTTCAATGTGGATATTTGGCATCACTTCTTTGACAATCTTACAACTTTAATTAGACAACTGTGTTGACACATTCTGCAATAAAAGATGCCGATGTGACATATCTACACATATATTTGCACATCTGAAAAAAACGACCTAATGTATAGGCAAACCCCAGTACACAGTACCGACAGACACACACACACAGCAGCATTTTACATTTTCCAGTCAGTTATATTTAATATGTGCACACAGTATAATGAGTGATTAAATCCTGCTTGATATGTGTGGAAGATGCCGGTAGCTTTAACCAGCTGCCTGTCTTAATATGTGAGCTGCCACCAGTCTGATGAGGGAATCTCCGACTTCCTGTCTGCTTTTCTTACTAAATACACACTTCTTCCTCCTCCAGCAGACAGCAGTGTGTGCGTGCATGCCTGCGTGCCTGCCTGCCTGCGTGTGGCTGTGTATTTGTGTGTGTGTGTACACTTTGTGAATTTGCGAGTCTCCTGTGATAGTAGTTATTTATCTCATGCTGCAAAAATATACTTCATTATGAGTGACACCATGAACATGAGGACAGAGTGAAATAATTTGTAATTGTGTGTGTGTGTGTGTGTGTGTGTGTGTGTGTGTGTGTGTGTGTGTGTGTGTGTGTGGCCTTGGGGCTGCTTCTTGTGATGTTTAAGCAGAGTTTCATGTTTCCCTTCATTAAATCAAAAGGAACAGATCATTTTTGAAGAACTGCTGGTGTGAGCATGTGCATATGTGTGCTTTTTTGCAGAGTTGGAGGGCTATGATTGGCTCGCTTTTAACAACCCAATCACAAAGATCATAAATCTCAGTGCAAAGCACTTGGTCATGTGTGCAATGACAAAGAGGGGCTATCTTCGAGCACCTGCTATTTTCATTCATGAGGGTGCAGTTACCATATGCATAAGGGCTGGATGAAGTGGAAATGAAATTGGCAAGTATGGTGATCATACCTCTCGGCCAATCACGTCCCTCAACTCATACCTTTCAAACAGCTGTGCCAGTTTCTGCAAGGAGAAAAAGGAGTTGTGTGAACCTGCCCACTTTAGGACCCTTTGGAGTTGATGAGGGGGGGATTTGTTTGTTGTATTGCATAACCAGACTGTATCACAACAGTATTATAAACCTCAAAAGCCAAACAACAAACTTTTTATTGTTAATTATACATAATGGATTATCAAAATATAGATCAGCAAAGGAAAGCATTACAATCTGTGTAAATGACAGGTTTGGGGACACACACAAAGTAGAGATATCACTGAACAAAGATATAAACATTTGACACACTGTAGCACAGAATCCTACAGTAACAGATAGATAGATAGCGGTTACATGAGTCCATGTACAGTGAACACACTTTAATGATATGCATTGCTTTAGTGGAGCTGGTAATGTTTTCTGGCGGAGTTATGAACCTCTGCTTTGAATCCATCACATCTTGTAACACTTGCAGGATGATGGTAAACAAGAACACATCAAAGCCATCTTCCCTTTGTCTTTCTACTCTTCCTCTTCTCCCCCCTCCTCACTGCCTGCATCTTTTTGTCCGGTCCAATCAAAGTGTTGGGCAGACGGGGATTTCTGTGGGGTTTTGATTAATAACAATAGATTAATGTCAGAGAGCCGGGTAGTGAGAAACAGACACACAGCACAAGTACAAAAGAAAGTGAAGAAAGAGAGAGGAACATGTGGGACAGAAAGAGGCATTTATCCCTTTTTATTTCTCTGTAACAACAAGTCTCACTGTCACTTGTAAAATAAGGAAACACTGTTGTTCACACTGCATCCCTGAAACACTTTCACTTCAGTTTAGTTCAATTCAACTGATATTAGTTTAGAACATTTCAGTTTAGTTTAACAGTACAATTGCAGTAATGGTGATATAGCACAGGGGAACCCCATACAAAGGATCCTTATTGGGATTATCACTTTTCCAAACACCTTTTTTAATACTGAATATCTGCACG